GAAGGCTGGCCGTAATTACTTCCTACCGTCCGGGACGTTTCTATAGAGGGCAGTAGAGGCAAAAAGAAGAAGAAAAAGAACAACAGCTCTGGCAAATCCCAAGCTTAGAAGGCGTCTCTCTAGCGTTTTTCAATTACATTGCGCTGGCCATTTTTATTTGAACAAACCACGAAAAAAAAAAGAACACATGCCAAACTCCATGCCGAACCCATTCCAATGCCATGGCAAGCCGGTCAGTGAGAGAGAGAGATGAAGAGGGTTGGGGAGTAAGAAAGAAAGAAAGAGAGAGAGAGAGAGAGAGAGAGGGGGGGCAGTGGTGCGAGCAATGTGGTGCGCGTGTTTGGTGGCGTTGCGTGTCTGTTGGCATGTGTCCACGCGAAATTGATATCGAACATAATTTTAGAAGCAAGCCACACACACACACACACAGATTTGGAGTTGGCTCATAGAGTTGTTGCCACAAAAAGGAAATGGCTGAAAAATGCTAACAAGATTTGCGCGTTCGTTCGGTGGGTCGTTCAATCGATCGCTGCTGCTGCTGCTGCTGCTGCTGCCGTTGCCTGCCGCCCAACTCTGCATGATGATGATGATGATGTCGGTGATGATGATGATGTTGTTGATGATGATGACAAGGCTGCAAGGTTACAAGTTTTTCCAGATCGGCACAGAGCCCCACTGACTGCTACAGCCACAAGTTGAAACATGAACACAATGCCAGACTTTGGCAACAACATGCAACATGCAACAAGTCGCATATTGGTTGCCTTGCTGCACGCTGCACGCTGCACACTGCGCACTGCTTGCCGGTGGTTGCGATTCGTGGCACAACATTAAACAGATCGTAAACACTTTAGCTTTATCTTTTTTTTTTTTTTTTTGCTTTTCCAGGCTGTTGTTGCACTCGCCGTTGCTGTTGTTGCTGCTGATAACGTGCCGCAGACAATTGAAATTGTTGCTGTTGTTGTTGTTATTGTCGTTGTTATAGATTTCGTTCATGTTCAAATCAATTTGATGTTTAAATTTGCACAACAAGCTTGCCAGACACCAGATAAATACGTGAACGAGTTGCCATTACCACATGCCAAGTGCGACCACTCGCTGTGGTATTTTTTCTCTGACGAGCTTGTCATTCCATTTATTTTAAGCACTTAATTCTATTCAAGAAAAGTTTAAATCAAGAGGCAAATTAGAAACAAGTCTAAGCCAAGGAAATAAATAAAGTTGAAACAATAACAAATACTTTCGGTTTTAATAACAACATTAAATTACAAAAATACCAAAAATACTGTTAATATTCTAAAAAATACTAAATGCGAATTACCCGGCACTAATCGCGCCTAGTGTTGTTTTCTTTTTATATTAAGCATCCATTTTCCACCTATTTCCCGCTGAAATAAATTAGAGGATAAACAAAAAAAACATTAATACAAGAGCTTCCGTGCATATTCCGAACATGGAAGTGGATTTCTCTCTTAAATCGTTGAAAAAAGGTCAATCAACAATTCACATCAAAAACAAATTTGAAAAGTTCACAGCACCTTTCAAGTAACTGTTCACAAAGTTCTTAAAAACTGAGTTCAAACACAAAAAAGTTCGCGTATATTCCGTGTATTTAAGGTGGATTTCGCAAAATCGCAAAAAGAGTTAATCCTTCTTTTCTTATGTTACTTGAAGCTTCGTACATGCATCCTTTTAGATCACTTCCCACTAAAGTGGGTGGATTTTTAGAAAAGAGTGGAATATATTAAAAAATGAATTTTCACAAAAAACTATGAAAATATGTTTTGGAACGATCGGCTTAAAAAAATATATATTTAGGAAGATATGTTTTAAGGAACTTCCAGCACAAAAAGTAAAATTTTATAGCTCTTACAGCCTGGTCAGTCCGGACAGATTAATATTTACATGGCATTTGTAGGGTATTCAAAAAAGGTTCAGTTTTTTGTAACACAAATGATCTATTACTTGGCATAGGTGCAAAATGTTGCACCTAACAAACGATCTTTGCTGATAGACAAAGCTCTGTTCTAAGCATACACAAGCCCCAGTAGCTGTTTGGTATGCTCCATTCATAATGTGTTCTACCCAAAGCTTGAAGCGAACAATAAAAATGCTGAAAGCAACTTTGAAGTACATGTTATGCATAGCAATTAAAGCAAATGTGAGTTTATATATACACACGATCGTCTATCGATTTATGGCATAAAGTGTGAATTACACAAAAGTCTCTGAACTGAACCAACAACACGTTGGCTGCAGTTGGTCCGGACTGCTCCTTGACTTTCGATCAAAAGCTGATGGATGGAAATTTGCATTTATCGATTGCCGTTAGCAGCACTTGGCGCAAAGCATATTTGATCTAGTTAGGTGTGCTTTACCATGAGTTACCCTGTAAAAGCGTATTAATAATTATGTAAATTTCAAAACAAAACAAAAGCATAGACAAAAGATAAATTCGTGAAATACGATTATATGCAGCAATCAACATTTTTAATAATTTTCAGACACTATGCGGACATTTCGGGAACAAACCCAAATTCAACTTTGTTCAAGCAATTTCTCATAGACTTGATCTATAACTGACATATTTGCATACAGAAAACAATTTTATGTATCTAACTTTTAGAAACACCAAAATATATATTTAAGAAACATGACTTTGTTATCAATTTTGATCGATTTTTGTGGAAAAGGTGAAGGTTAACAATAATGGCGGAGCTCTTCATGCTACGCAAGTACATATGAACTAAATGCAGTCGATAAAGGCTCCTACTGCCTGTTACATACGTTTGTGCAAAACCAATACACCCATTTTGGACATTTTTTATTTGCTTAGGGTATAAAAAGTATTACCTACTGTCAGCCATTCAAATTGAACGATTGCTAGAGAGTGTCGAACTGTCTCGCTTGCTCTCTCTCTCGCTCGCTCTCTTTTGCTGCTTCTTGCTCTCCCCCCCATTCTCTCGCTGTCTTTGATACCCATTAATTGCTTAGTTTTATGTATGGTTTTAGGACTTATCAATAGACTCTACAGCCAATAGGCTCGACAATTTGCGTGCGTGCAAATGGATTTTGATGCTTTTTTCGGATTCTCTTTCGGGGCGAAGGCTAATAGAAACATTTCGTTGTTGCAGTTGTTTTGCCGGTTCGGCAGCATTTTGACTAATTAACTGCAATGTTTAATGCGTTAGACCAACGTTCTTGTTGTTCTTGCTGTTGTTGTTGTTGGCCAAGACGTCACTGGAAACGAGTTTTAAGGCATTTGCCATTGGCTCGCATTTCCTGGCCAAGGCGACGACAATCATAATCGCCAGTGACAAATGCACAAGAAGATGCAAAGATCTATAACCGAGGGGCGGGGAGAGGCGGAGTTTGGCTGTTATTGAAAGGGTATTGGTATATGTCGTTTGGATGCCGCAACTGGTATTACTGGCATGCCATATTCACGCAACTGGCCAGCTCGCAACTTGGCCAAATGGTCAACTGTTGTGCTGCAGCTGTTTTGCCTGCTGCTTATTAGCGGCTGCATCTGCCTCTGCCTCTGCCGCTGCCTCTGCCGCTGCCTCTGCCACTGCCTCTGCCGCAGCCGCTGCCTCTGTCGCTGTGCCACAAGTCAAGACAAGTTCTGTCAGCCAGAGTTGGCCGTATATGATTCAGCATTCAAATGCCGCATGAATACCACTCACACAATTCACAACCAACCAAAATCCACACTCAATAAAGTTGTTTAATTTATTTGTGAAATTATCTCAACAAACAACAGAAACGCAGATGTCAAGCGTTTTAAATGGATTCTTACAGCTACATATATGACAGCTTTAGAATTTAGATCGAGTTGCAGCAAATCGTGAACAAATTGAAAATGCAAATGTTTCTGCTTATGGCAGCTATATATATTAAAGTTCGATGTTGACGATGCCAATATAAATGAAATTGATGTTCGCTTCGCTGAGAAGGAATTGTTTCATAGCATGTATATTCGACTAATTGTTTCTATTGGAGCCATATAATATATCGACTTTTGAAGATATATGAAGAGAATAGTTATGCAATCGAATTTATCTGTCTTATGATAATCCATCAATTCATCGGTTGATCAAGAATGAATATAGTCCTAATAGCTTCATGTCTTTATAAAAATACCCTAATAGGTTTACTCTATTTACACCCTATTAGTTGTATAAACTTATATGTAGACAACATTTTCGATCGAAAAGCGCAAAAAACTCGCATTTTGAATGTCAAAATCAAAATCTTTGCTTAAAAACGATAGAAATCACAGAAACCGCAATTGAATTTCTGTCAATGCATTGTGTTAAGCTTTAGAGGAATTTATTCTGAGATCTGTTAGAGTCTGGTCACCTGTTCCCAGCCTGCCCACCTGCTCAACTGTAGTAAATTGATTGCCAAGGGCGTAAAGCGAAAAAAAAAACGAAGAAAAAAAAACTGAAATAAATACAACAAATTGATTGTTTCAAGCAAGCGATATGCATATCTAAAAGCTGCTCAAGTTGTCTTGTCTTGTCACTTGACTCGGTTCAATTACGGGGCAAAAAGCGCAGAGCACACGGCATCTATCTACCGACACACGAAATCTAAAACACAAAACCGTCAGCAAACGGCAAAACGGTACAAATAATATTGAAAAAGATTTATTAAGTTCGCACATTCGAAAAGCACTTGCGGCTGACAATTAAAAAGCACTCGGCATCAAATTTAGACGATGACGGGACGGGGTATCTCCGTTGGCAATTGAGACGGGGCCCGAGGAGGGACACTCAAATCGAATCGAATCGAATCGAAATGATTTAATTCGATTCGACTAGACTTAACGATACTCTATAAAGCAAGCAAAGGGAAAAGTAAAATAAGTACAATAAGAAGTCCCAGCAGACATCCGTATGCCATGATTTTCATTGATTTTCACGCATCTTTAGAGTGTATATCCCAAACTTAACTTTAATTTTAGTTAGGTATAAGGTAAATAAGAATCTACATACCAAATTTGCTGGCTCTGGCGCTTCTATTCACCGAGTTCCGATAGGCGAGCGGATGGCACTAGAAAGAAAAAAGAAAAACAGTCAAGAATATTACAAATTATTAAGATATCTTTCACTGATTACAGCGGGTAGCTTGTAAAAGTTCTTGGTGATAACTGTTCAAAGCATTCGATACACGTACTTATTAAATGTAATCAATAAAAATGTATCGACTCCTCAAGTCTCATCGACTAGGAGAGAGCAATAATATGTATTGCAATATACGAATATAAAAACAATAACTTACAGACTTTTAAACTTAAAAGCATATCTAACGAATAGCTGAAGAATTTATTTGGAGCAGCATTCATTCAAGAATAGAGTTGAAAGGAGTGTTACATTGTTTCCAATTGGAAGTTACATATTTTTCAATCAAACTAACACTGGGAGCTCAGAAAAGTAGGCTTCGTAAGACGCCAAAATCGATCGATCTATGCTATTGATTATTAACGAATCCTAACAGTTAATAATAATGATAAAATATCTTAATTTTTATAGAAAGATGCGTTTAGCATATTGTTATTGACAAAAAGCTCTGAATAAATTGCTGTCAATAAATGTTATCGAGAGGTTCTTATATGAAAAACTGCCCATCATTTAAAAGTTCAAAACTTTTCTGTGAAGCTGACTGACTGGCAGCATATGCTCTCTATATACTCTTGCCTACAGGGTAGCACAGAGCTTAAGGCGCCACATATGAGATTTTGAGTGTATGTGTGTGGCAGTAAGGTGTGTGTGTGTGTGTGTGTGTGTGCGTGTGTTTGTAGCCATGCTATATGCTGCGTTGTTGTTTGATACGCCTGTGCAAAGCATTTGCGATGCCAGGTTGTTCGGGTTGTTTGGGTTGTTCGAGTTGTTCGAGCATTTGTTGTTGCTGTTGTTGTGTTTGTGTTTGTTGTTGGTTTTGTCTGTGCCTTGATTACTTGTTCGCCTGCGTTCGTTTAATGGCGGCAACAAATTGTCTGCTTAATTGTGAGAAACCCAACAACAGCAACAACTGAAATTGAATCCGAAACTGAATCCCAATCGCATTCATTGTATCTGAATGTGGCCAAATGTATCTGAAACTGAGTGTGTGCTCCGGCACAAGCGCAGTTCTAAATTGAAGCAAGAATGGAGGAATAGTTCTGCAGAGTGTCGCACAATCAATACCCTGGCAGACCTGATGATATGTCAGCTATAAGATAAGGTAAACTGATCTTAGGCAACATAACTTTCTTCAGCCACAGGCAAGAGAATGTTCTAATCAAATTAACCAGAGATTTATCTAACTATTACATTAAATATTGACATATAAACTATTTTAGGACACCATCGGAATTATCTATGAAGCAGCTGTAGCTGATCAACTGATCAACTCTGATCAACCTTTGACTCAGCCCATCACGTAGGCCGAGTACCCTTTGTAAGTGTATACGAAAATTAAATAAAATGCGCAGGCAGCTAGCTGCCTTTGTTATATGTACTCGCATTATCATTATATGGTATGGCATGATTGTTATTATTATTATTTTCTGTTGATTATTGTATTGTGTTTTTCTTAAATGTATTTTGCATTAAACATTCATTAAATTGTATTTGGGTATTGTGTGTGGGTTGTCGCACGTTAAACGCTGCGCCATGTGTGAAATTGTTATAAGCGTTTAATTAAAACAAGATTAACAACTTGAAACAAAACAAATGCTGGTTTCGTTCGAATCGCTATTCAAATCGCACTCGTGAACACTATCGAATGCACTCGATATTTAGTTCTTGACATGGTTCAAACGGTTAATAGAAAGTGGCAATCAGAGCGAGTGCTCTGTGTCGTTACAGATGCAGATACAATTGTTAGCAGCGGCAACAGTTGCTGCCGCAACAACAATCAGATCAGGCAATTGTCAACAGCAACACATGCAACAAAAAGAATTAACAATTTTGGCCACAAAATGTTGCACAAATTAAAATTGAACACAATAATCAGCGCGACATGCTGCTGCTGCAATTGCTGCTGATGTTGCCTGTTGCCTGTCGTCAGCGTTGTCTCTGCTCATCGTCTGCGCTCTGAGCTGCAGCAGCGGCTACAGCAACAACAACAACAACAACAGCAGCAGCAACAACAACCAGCAACCGCCTGTTGCACATGGCCAGAGAAAATGACTTTATTATAGGTTTTTAAATTTATAAACGCAACATTTACCATGCTAAACACTCCAAATTCCAGCTGGCCCGCCTGCCACAGCAGCAACAGCAGCAACAACAGCATCAATTATGAAATTTTTTGCATTTCTTTACGTTGCTGCCACATGTGGCATGTGTATGTGTGGCAAACAAATGGACAAGCCATTTTTGAAGCCTTACGAAGCAAATGCTTTTAAATCAATTTCTAATCCAACAGAACGAAAGAAAGGCCCTGCGCAAAATTAATAATATGATTCTCTATAATTTTGACGTAAGCTGTAAATAATTAAAGTATAAATATTTGTTTGGGTCCGTGGATTATTAAAAGCAAAATCAAAAACCGACATAAACAACAACCGACGAACTTTGTTAAATTGAATTCAATTATATAGAATACAAATCTCTTATGATTGCTCTTTCTTTTCAACTATGTAGCTTCTCGAAGATCATTTTCTAATTGATTGACTCTCATCCACACACTATTTATTGGACACAGTTTCCGCTTGACATTTGACAAAACACACACACACAATTATTGGAGAAATTGATAAATATTTGACGGCCAGGGGTATTATATAGATATATACATGATATACATATATACATATATAACTTTAAAATTTTGCAGCTAAGAATCTTGTGAGTCGGATGGAGTGTTGGGTGGTGTTGGTGGATCTGTCAGATCATCCAAATTTTCATCATGGTCATCCTCTGGAATTGCGGCGCAATTAGTTGATGCGAACACGGAGCAAATTGCTGGCACTCACCCGGCGCATTCTCAGCACTATCCGGCCGAGCTGGGGCCTTGAGCGGAGGCCATCGGATAACGATATTGACAATATCGGCCAGGTGCTGGCGATTGCAAGTCGGATTCTTTTCGCACTGCGCTAAAAAGTGCTTGATGAAACGCATGCTCTGCCTTGTGGTGGGCAAACGTTTCGGTTTCTGATTGCGACGTGCTCCACGTTTCTTCTTTGGCACAGCAACAATCGCTGCCGCCGCTGCTGCTGCTGCTGCTACTGCTGGTGCTGGCTGGAGGATTTTAGCCGAGTGGCTACCGGACTCGCTCCGTATCTCAGTCACGCCGTCCATTGGCTGGCCGGCAGCAGGATTCCTGTTAGCCCTATTTCTGGCCTGCCTTCTGGTTCTTGGGGCCATCTCGTTCGGCAGCGGCTGAGCCATGCCCATGTCCGCATTCGCATTTGGATACGAATTTAGATTTGAATTGCGATCCTGTGCCAGGCTCTCGGCAGCTGAAAATCTATCAGCTGGAGCGCCATTCACCAGACGCTCAGTTATCAGCGCCATTTGCTGTGGGCCAATGTGAGTGATGCGACGAACTGGCCGCCTTTTGATCATTTGGCTATTCACAGCAAAATTCGAACTGGGCGCATTGTTGCTGCCGCCAGCGTTGCCATCATTAGCAGCGTTGCCAGAATCACGACTCGGCCCCTTGTTGATTTCTCGGCCGCTGCGCAATTTCATAACTTCTTTTGTTCACTTCCTAAGCAGGAATATCTTTAACTATCCGTTTTATTATCTCTTCCGTACTTACCCCACAAATATAAAAATATATTCATTAATTGCTTAACAATAATCTATATTTGAAGAGAGTGTGCTATCAAAATGGTGTTTACTGTTTGGGTACGTTGTGTGTACTGAACAAAGTTGTGGGTTTTAGCAGCTGAGCGAATTTTCCTGCCTGCAATGCCAACTTTGATGACAAAAAGAAAACGGTCGAACACTTTTTGTTTGTTCTCCCAACACAATATACACATGTCAGGCTACATTAAGCATACCAACTCCTGTTTCAGTATTGTCCACAGAGTCTCTTATCAATAAATGCATAATCTAAGCTCACACAATCCCAAGGAAAACAAAGTTTTATGGAGCTTGTGCGATAAAAAAGGCAGTTGAAAAAGAGGAAATACATATGAAGGCAGAAAAATGAAATTGATATGATATATAGAATTTATTTAGATAATTGGCATAAAATACAACAATTCCAAAGATTTTTAGAATCGAAGTGGAAAATAAAATGAATAATTTTATTCCAATTTAAAGTTGAGTAAATATTCAATTAAAATGAAATAGCAATAAAATTGTATTTATTTACTTCCATCATTCATTTCACCAATGAAAATAACGGACACATAAGAAAATTAATTTAATTGAAATAGACAATTAAATTAATGTAAGCTATTTAACTATATATTTTCGATACAAAATTAATTTATTTATCATTTATATTATATTTAGTTACTCTTCAAATTTAATTGTGCAGCCCGCGCAATCAGATTTGTTTAATTTAATTTGATAAAAAGTATTAACCCCTCAATACCGCCCAATAAAGTATATTTTTTATGCACTTCGAACCACTAAATCCAACCAACAATCGCTTATAATTCACGACTAGTTCAAGCCGGCATTCGTTTGAACAATACACTGTGCTTCGACTTAGACTGGATTGAGTAGAGAGCTCATAGGAAAATCTATCCGGTTGAATTTTGTGTGAAGCACACTTTACTACATTACAACTATTCATACGCTAATCAGCTGGTTGGTAGCTTTCGTAAGCCAATTGTTCAGCTCATTTGAGCTTTGTGGAGGCGTTTGTTCAATTGAACAAAGCAGCGTTTAGAGCTCTTCCAGCTTACGGCCCACTGCCAGCACACCAGATGCCACCCAGGTGGCTGGGCATTAATCTCGGCCATATTCAATCCTTGGGCGTGATAATTTAGAGCCAAATCACAAAATGCTGAAGCCTACACAATATGCAATTCGGAACTTGGGCGTGGGCACATTTTTGTATCTTCTGTTTTTTTTCTTATGTTTGTTCTTTAGAATCTTTTCACAAGTTCCGATGCCCAATTGATCGCTGCAACTGGGGCTAAGCTTGTGCGGCATGCACATAATTTGTAGCCTTAACTCATTATAAAAACGGAATACAGGGTGTGGGCTAGCGGTTGGGTCAAAAACTGTATACTGTGTTTGAAAGTTCGGAAGTCAAATGAGTTTTGCCACTTGTTGTCAGCTATTTTATGAGTTGTCAGCGGACGGGGGAGGGGGGCAGCCTACCTCGTTATACACATAAGTATATAAATATGGTTTTCATTCTTTCGATCTGTGGATGTGCCATCAGTTCGCATCATAGTTCATAAGCTTGTTTCTTTATCGGAAACAAAACAACGTCACAAAATGCTTTGAAGACTGCTTACAGCTGGTTTGGTTCGGTTTGCTTACAAGCGCTTTGCTCAGTCGCTTTGTTCGTGTTTTATAAACTCTTTAGCTTATTTTTTGTGGGCTCTCTTTTTTTTTTATTTTGTCACTGACTGCGACTGCTGCTTCCGCCTAATTCCGCTGTGGCTAACCACATTTGTGGCTATTTTCACAAAAGCACGCATTAAACAAATTTTCATGATTCCTCTAAACAAAGTTTTAATACTCTTTCAATTTCAATTTTACTCCCAAGTGCTGCTAAAGTTAATCAAATTACCCCGAGAAATTGAAAGTCTTCAGTTCTCTATCCAATCCTTTGACATATTCTTTTAACCTCACAACAAGCTGACTCCTAATATGCATATTTCTTTTTCATATTAAATTGTTTTATTTCTTGACTAAATTGTTCATGGCATCAATTTCACGATCAAAGGTTAAGCAATCACTGCAGCGCTGCCACCTAGTTCTGCATCGGCATATGGCCACACCTAAACTAAAAATGCTCGTCTGCGACAGCATCATTTGAATTTGTCAACTGTGCGAATTAGTGCTCCGAGTCTTTAATTACATGTCGATCAACTTTAAAACTATAAAAGATAATTCCAGTGTTGCCACCTGGCACTGTATTGCTAATATGGCAACACTAAACATAATATAGTTGATATTTCACTGCTTTGTAAAAATTAAAAGATATTTTTGAAGTTTTAAATTTCTTAAGTCAAGTGCAAAAAACTTTACTGGAAGATAAAATTGCCGTAATGTATTTACTTTTAGGGCTGCCAGACTCTTTACAGATAGCCTAGTGTCAACTGTTTGTGAGGCTTATCTGAATATTGCCAGATTTCTTACAGTTAATAAAAGCGTTGCTATTAGTATTCATAGCGTTTAAATTGTGAACTTAAAGACGCAGCGTTGCCACCTTACGCACAATTTTTACATAACCTTAACAAAAGCTCAGGGCTTAACAAGAGCTCAAGCCTTAAGAAGAGCTCAAGCTACAAAATGCAAAGAAATTCTGTACGACTCGACTGCCAGATAATGTATTTAAGGCATTTTAAAGTTGGGCACATTAACTTTATATCGCAATTGTTGCTCAAGTTTATTTTTTTTGTTTTGCCGGTCGACTTCGAGTTAGCTCTCTTTGCACAGACCCCAAGTAAATTTATGCGAAATTCTCGTGCTTCTCATGGTTGATGGCGATTGTTGTTGCTGTTGTTGTTGTTGTTTTTATAGTAGTTATATTTGTTGCAGCCGCATATTAATAAATGTATGCACAACTATATACATATGCATTAGTATGAGTAAATGGCCAGCTAGTTCATCGTCGGCTGCGATAGTTAATGTTTTATTAGAGCTTGCGTGCCAGGGTTGTGGCTCTGCCAATTTGGGTGAGGGTCAATGGGGAAGGCTCCGCTGCCAATGCCTTTGACTTGGCCAAAGGGGCGGTGATTTGTTGTTAAGCGCACGTAAAGTCTTTCGAGTCAGTGCATAATCAGAACTCAAAACGCATTACAAAACTACAAAAATAAAGGGTTATTAGCGAAAATTCCAGACATTTAGCAATCAATTTCTAAGAGTTGTTAAGCCAATGAAAGTGTTTGCTTATAACTTGAAATAATATTTAAGTTTTCAACGTTTGGCAAAACTCACACACGAATTTTGCCAATTGTAGCTTATGCGATTGTCGACTTTCAAAAGAACACAGATGATATACTTAAGTAATTTTTAGTTATATATATATATCAAACATTTGTTTTAGCCTTCAGTTAGGCGTACAAAAATGTCAAAATTGATAAAAACTACGTAATTGCTGAGGGCGTTCGACCGGACCGTTTCAGAGAGTAGTTCAAAATTTTAGCGTCAGAAGCGTACCAGCAGCGTGTGGCACTGAGCCAATTGACAGTATTTGTAATAGATCTACATTCTATATGTAGATATTGTTGTGATAAATGGTAATGGTGCCCTTAACACTGCCCTTATCATTGGCCGTTATCACGGGTTTATTGGGCTTTGTTGTGGGCGCACTAATTCAACAGGATGCATCGTATCGGAACCTACAAACGACTATGGCCAGCGATCCATATATCTTTCAACGTCGCCAGCAGATCTACGAGGCGGTGAGTCGCACCTTTCTCAAGCCAATCAAATCGATATATACATATATATACATATATATATATATATATATATAGTTGAGGCTGGTGGTGCAACCGCGTCAATCTTTTTACAACGATTCAGGCGAACATGGGCGCGACCTGCGTAACGAGGATAACGACAATCCGGGCGGTGATCACACGAGTCCGCCACCGGAACTGGAGGACACGGATTCCGTTTTTGCCAACTATGTGAAATGGTTTCAATCAAACATGCACACTGTGGTAAGCTTTTAACAGGTCTAGAAAGCTCGAGAACTTTTTTACAACCCATTTGCAAAAGAAAATTATATATTAACAATATATATATGTATATATATATATATACATATATATATATATATATATATATATATAGGTAGTTTATAAGATTATCTAATCATAAATGAATACTTCACAAAAAGAGAAAAGAGCTGACACGTTTGGATAAAGTTTAGTTAACTTTATAAGTACTTATCGACCGATAGACGTCAGAGCATAAATCTAGCATCAAATGTGTTGAAATTCCAAGGCCCAAAATTTGTCATATACAACATTCTACATCGTGGAAAGATATCAAATAGTTTAATTTTCGGCATACGAGAGTCTGCAGACCAAATTTGCTGGCTCTAGCCTCAAGGCTCTAGGGTATGCTCAAAATACAAAATTTCGATAACGATAACTTATCGATTTTATTTTACTCTGCTCTCCAAGCTGAGCCTCCCAAGCCAGATCAACTTGCCTATTGATGCTAATCCAAAAATGGGCTTCTGAAAAGCCTGTTGCTAAATCTCTAAAGGCATTAAACCCTTTTTAGGCATTGTCAATGGTATAAGTTTATACTAGAACATCATTCAAATCGGATTGTTTAAAGACAGCATGCAAGCAACAATTTCACAAAAGGTTTTGACGGTTGAGAGCATAGTTATCGACTCTGGCATGGTTTAAGCTCAATAAAAAATAAAATAAATATATCAAAAAAAGAGAGCAGCAGTTTGCTGCTAACTATAAAACTATACACAATTCCCAGGCCGTTTCAGTACCAGTTGCAATAAGTCTCAGAAAATCTCCCATTTTAGACCATGTTCTTCACCTTCTCATTGGGCGTTGAGCCGCTGCCAGAGCCGGAGCCGGCCCATGTGGCAACGCTGATGAAGTACGGCTTTCCCGGCCTGGACGATATACATGTCTATCGTAATTTTGTACTATCTTATGATAGACGCAATCGGATTGCGCACTGGGTGTGCGAGCATTTGGAGAGCGCTTGTTTGATCGGCACGGAATCGACAATTGTGCAGAAGCCCGCAGAGTA